GTGTATATATAGTGTATATATAGTATATGTTGATGCTGGTGAAGTGTGGTTATGTCAGCTAAGTGTATGTGGTATAAACTACTTGAGGCATGTCGTGGCGAAATGGTTAATTGTCCCGCAGGCCAGTATTGAGTAAATGAGCTATAAAATATGGGAGCCCAAAAAATTGCCAAATAAAACAAAAAAAAAAAATCAAAATTTTTGTTTCACTATATAGATCAAGAGTTTAATGTCTTATTAATCATGTCCCAAAGTATTAGTTCCGGAAGTGTTCAACAAATCGTCTATTTAATGTTATTTAGATAGTTAATTCTATTTAAAACAATCACATTTATCTTGACTCTAAGAGTGATGTACTTTCATTTTCCAATTAGGCTTGAAATGTCCAATTTTAATTAATGACCCCTCATTTTAAAGATTACATACTCACGTATCTGAAAATACCAATGACTTGAATTTCGATTTTTGCTACAACTTAGCCATTTTGCCAAAACATGCCTCATTTAGTGTAGGAGAAATTATGGCTGTATTGATAATGGAGATTGAGAGTATACAAGGAGAATGATGGAAGGACATCTTTTACAATAGATAAAATCTACTACTGTTAGCACATATTAGTTCATATTTACAGTAAGTAAATATCTACTAATGTCTACTTACTGTAAGTTATTTGCTATGGGGGGGGGGGTGGGGTTAAGGTTAGTTAAATGTAGCATGAATGACCTGATCGAGTATGAGTTGTGGTAAGAATGATAACTGTTGTAGGCCTAATAAATTGATAATTCTTGGCAGATAACTTACCCTGTGCCCACAATAACGACCGATCTTAGTGGCTGCATAATCATCACCGTCAAACACCTCCACGTAATCATAATCACATTCTGTTTCATGCTCAATATCAAGTGTCAGAAATAGAAGGCGCACACGGAGGCCACCCTCATCTGGTGCTATGATCGTCCATGAACAGTCCTCCTAAAATACATCAACATGAATATATAACAAGCTATCACTAAAACATACTTTCTGTAATAAGCTATTAAATAAATACCGGTACTATACATTTACTTGAAAATTAGAAAGCCAAATTAACAAGGTATATGCACACTATCATTCTAATAATCCTTTAGATAGAGCCCTAAATTTAGTGGTAATCATTGTCGTAGTAGTTGCCTCTGCTTCAAATACCTTAAAATTTGTTTGAACCCTAGACGATCGGAAGGCATAGCATTTTTCACCACCAAATAAATGCAAGAAAACTAGTTCAGCTGTGTTCAGCCGGGCACTGAACGTATCGGCACTACGCACTCAACGGATCATTTTTAACGACAATCCCTTCAGACAGCCACTGACAATCAGCAGACAGGTTTAGCCTTGTTCAGCACTCACAGAAAGCGGAGTTGGATTGGTTATACAACTGCCGTATGACCGTCGTGCATTGAGTGCTCAGCGTTACATTGGCAGTTTACTCTATAAACATCTATAACCAAGCTATTTAATTCCACTAAATTGAAGATGATTGTCCCTTGCTAATGTCAAAAAAATCATAACAAATAAGTTTGAAATAAACTTGCTCATTTTGCAATAACATACAAATTATTAACCTGTGCATAAAAATTATTGAATTTAAACAATGCTTACCCTGATTTTTAAACCAACAAATTATAATAAAAATAATAAAGCACTTCAGTGACTGGAAGTGTTTCTATCATTTTTCGCTGTAAACTGATGGGTAGACATTTTTTTTTTTAAACTAATTTCTATGTTCAATTTGATAACTTTTATGATAATTCAAAACGCAAGTTAATTTCAAAAAATATTTTTATGATTTTTTTTATATTTAGCATTGGACAATACATCTTTAAGGGGAATTACAGGCAAGTAAATGCCAATTATTGCATTTTACAGGCACGTACTGCAGCAGGTATACAATATAGTATCAATATGTATTCCAGTTTCATGGGTTTGATGGATGTTTGAGGCTTCAACCTCAATGGGAGGTGAAGCAAGCGATAAGGTAAGGGAAAATGTTGGACTTTCTGTTAACTTTTTTTCTGGTATAATTTTTTTTTTTTATATATTTAATCTCAAGGACATTTTCACTCACCTGCGCACTGTATACGCTATCTCCATGCTCTGCATGTGAATATAAATTCTGAGGTGTGAACGTTGCCTCCAGTACACCACCACAAACTGGTAAGGTGCAAAATAAATAATAATGATAAATTAATACTATAGAGAGGGAAAAAAAGTATCGAGACAGGGACTACCAATGATTTAAATTTTATTTTCACAATCCATCTTCATTAAAATTGGAGAATTAGTGGTAGAGGATTGAAAATTTGGAATTCTGTACATCAACTTTTGCAATCTCTGAAGTGCTTTCCAAATTTAAGAAAAATGCAATTTTTTTTTTCTCCATGTATTAGTCTGATTGAAAAGAAAAGCAAGAAAGTACCCATCATAGCACCTTTGATAAAAACAATTGCAAATGTACGTATGTAGGTATACAAGTAACTACATGTATCAGCATGTATTCAAATGTCAATAAATTCATTCAAATACAGCTTTTGTAACTGTTTTTGATAAACTCTTTGCTTTAGACCTCTTTCTTATTCACCCTTTCTAGAAATGAAATGAGTATAAATTAGACTAAACTGTGACAAAAGAAGCAAGTATTTTAAGTTTACCAAATCCAATTATATTATATACTGTAACAAAATTATTTACCATTAAAAGAAATAATGGATTCAGCAGCAAGGACATAAAAGATATCTAAAAATATTGAATGTATGGATATATAAAACTGCACTAAACAAGAAGGAAGAAAGAGAGAGCCTGCCAGGCCCGTAAAAAGAAAAAAAATGTTTGTACCTCCAACCATCAAAGTTGTCTCGAAAAAATGCCTCCAGCACCAAATGTTATCTGTATAGTCAATAGCTTCCCCCCCCCCCAAAAAAATGCCTCCCGGATATTCATGTTACCTCCCACTACCAGTTGCGTGGGCATGCGCATTTTCCAGCCTATGGAGCCTGAATTACAGTACACGTGATAAAGTCTACTCTTGGCTAAAAGAACAGTCCTGTCTTTACCTGTATCAATCTCTGCCTTGAACCCCTTTCTTGTCACAGAACCATCTGAGAAGAATCTTACAAATATATTGTTACCACTAGCTAGCACTGGATCAGGGATCTGGGTGCCACAGAGGCGTCTTAGCATCTGACCAGAGGAAGAGTTGCCATCGTACAGCAACACGTAGTCGTAAGCGCATTCCTGATGCGTCTCCACATCAAATTCCTTAAAAGACTGGTGGAAAATAACAAGAATCAAAAGTCAACATAAAACTATCAAGACAATTTTAATAATAATAATAATAATATGATAATAGGGATTTATACCACACCTTTTGCTAAGGGGATACCAGGTGCTATTATTGCGATATTGTTGTTAGTACCCTCTGATTATTGGATCCCTAATTAGCAAACTAGCACAAAGCGCAACCTCGTCCAATCAATGGGGAAGATTCCTTGTCATGCTTGCAATTTAATGCTGATAAACACTAGTGACAATAAATGCCACATCATCCTACCAGCTACCATTTATACTCATATAACTTATATAGTGTACTTATATTATTTATATTTTTTATTTATATATTTATTTATTTATTTGTACTACTTATTTATATTTAGTGCTTGGCCTATGGACACAAGCGAAATTCACAGCAAAGGTTCGAACCTTTGATCTCAAGGTTAAGAGACCATGCACACAAATGTTTGTCAAATATATTGGTAGGGTAATGCTCTGTCTATACTCTGTCAAATTGTATGTGATGTGCCCTTTATATAGGCATGGTGATGTCATATACTCCCAAATATTTGTCACATAACTGGACGCTTGAAATTATTGCAGGGATACCAAGTCTCCCGGAACTCGTGGGAATCTTCCGGAAATCAGGACACCCTCCCGCACTCACGTAAGCAAGGAATAAACTCCCTGAAATTAACGCATCTCCACAAATTTATAATTTTGCATAATTTCACTGCTTTATTATCAATTTTCTGACGGAAGTCAGTGTCGATGGATATCACTATGTGCAGCAAAAAAATAAAATTAAGTGTAACAAGATCAGTAGCAGATTGGAGGGTGGAGGGAGGCTGCCGGCCTGAGCCTCCTAATTCAAAATCCTAAATAATTCAAAATTCTAAAAATATGGAGAGGAGAAGAAAATTATATTCAAAATAAAGTCTGAGAAGGCCATTTCTGGCCATCTAGATTTACCATAATCATAAATTTTCTTACCTCAGCTCCAACCATGGTTGGGCTGAGGTGGTATAGACCTTCCATCTGTAAAAGTCCTCCCTCCCCCCTCCCTCCCCCCCCCCCCGTCCCCATACGACATGACAATATTCGAGGTGTGGAGCCATTAGGGATTTGTACAGTTTGCATTGAACATCTTTTGAAAGAATTTGGCTAGTCTTTTTTAGATAGTACAAGCTCTGCAATGCCTTAGATTTCACATGACTTACTTGTGAACTCCAAGAAAGATTCTTATCAAGAATTACACCAAGATGTTTGCATTGATTAACACGAGTGATAGGTTCTCCATCAATGTTTATATCAATTTGAAGATTTGATATGTTTGATAATTTTTGTCTCAAGCCTATTATCATGTATTCAGTTTTCTTAACATTTAAACTCAGTTTATTAGATATGAGCCATTTCTTAATTTCTATCAAATCATCATTAATTGTTGCAGTTAAATTATCAACATTTTTATCTACATAATATATACAGGTGTCATCGGCATACATTGAAACTGTGGATTTATCGACAGTTCTAGGGAAATCATTCATATACAGGAGGAATAGCAAGGGTCCTAATATAGACCCCTGAGGGATCCCACATATACTGTGACATTCTTCAGAATCTGCTCCATTTACATTAGTCATATGAGTACGGTCTTGAAGATAGTTAGTGAACCATTTGATAACACTTAGGTGAAGATTGAAAGAATAAAGCTTGTTGATTAGTTTGTGGTGGTCTAATTGGTCTCACAAGTAAAATCTGACTAATTTCATACACATCCTGAACATTTCTGTACAACCTTGCTACATCCACTAAAGCCTGTCTTACTTACAAGTCTAGCCTTGTGGCCAGCAGTCACTGTGATGTGCCAATTACAGTCCTTCCTCTTTGGATAGTTATCTGGCCAATTTGGAGAGGTTATTTCGCCTTCGTAGGCGTCAATTTCATGCCGGCATCCAGCTGAAAGAAAATGTGATTCTAAGCATTGATTCAAGTTTTATTTATTTTGCCTTATTTGCAACAACAGTGCTACCTCCCTAAACTTTTACCTTTACGCTCACTTGCCCACCCCCACCCTTCCTCCCCCCCTCAAAGATTTCACTCACCGCCATTGCTTATTTGTCCATACAAGAACACAGAACAGTTCATTTTCATAGTTAACTATCTCTTACGTAATGGTTATTAAGCACATACACCTACTTTATAAAAAAAACAATAGACAGCAACCATAATAAATATGCACTTACACTCTTTACAATCTCTGTCATTCTGATGAAGAGTGAATCCATTTCTACATGAGCACGTATAACTACCAAGTGTGTTAGTACATACGTGTTGACAGCCACCATTATTCTGCTCACACTCATCAATATCTATTTGCAAAGTATTCAAGTAAACTTTATTCCATATTAAAATACACAAAATGTACATTTCTGATTCAAGAATGGAAAAAGGAACTCAAATAAAGCAATGCTTTTAAACTGACACACTTGAAAAAGAATTAATACACAGAATTATAATTATAAAACAATATACACATATTGTATAACAACAACAATAATTAAGATAATAAACAAAAGTTTAAAGGATATGATTTCACTAACCATGTATGCACAACATTTTACTATTTTAAAACCTAATGCGTATTTAATTGTAAGTGTGAGCATAGTACATTTTATATAACTCTTCTCTTAAATGAATCCATTTCGAGTGCGGCTTAAAACTCTCAGCTGAAAAAATATTTTCTCAATATCTTAAGTACGAGAAAGTTGTGTAAAATGCATCAAAGTGGAAAGATAACTAATAATTTAGGCAGATTCAGATTTCAGATTCATATTTATTCACACAATGCATAAAGGTGGTAACAAGACAAAAAAAATAGCAGTGGCTATTGTTCCACCAGTCTTAATCCAATTCCTAATTGTGATTGGATGTATGGTATGTATGGATTGGATCAGAACAGTAACGTCCAATAAGAATTGGTTTAAGACTGGTGTAACATCAATGCCAGTACAACTAATTGTTTTCTTTTATGTTCTATCAATTACCTGCAAAGAATGTTGCAAAGAATCCTTGCTTTGAGACGGTGCTATCAGAATGGAATTCGATGCGCATGTTGTTGTGCCGTGATGTAATTGTGTTTGGTTTCTTGTCTCCACAGTACCTGCCATGCAGTGTACCACCTTGTAAACCACTCCGAACCTCTGTGAAATCATATTTACATTGCTGAAAAAAAAAATGACAATGGAAAAATTAGAACATAAATTGACCCATAGAAAATGAAATATTACAAGATGCCAGTTATAATAATGTTAAAATATTTAATTAATATTTAATAATTTTAATATTGTAATATTACATAATTTATTATTATTATTATTATTTATTTATTATAATGAACATATAATAATATAATACCACGATATGGCTAGATTTTTTAACATTATATTTAGCAGTTGGCACTTCATATGTAATATACTTTGTTTATTTTATTTTATTTATTTCTTATTTTTACACTTAATTCACACAAGGGTGCTTTTCGTCAAGGCCGAGCAATTGGTTTTACGTTTATCATTTTTGCTGCTGTTACCAATCCATGTTTTCTTTTTTCTTCATATTTAGCATAATTTCTTACTCCTGAATTACATTAAAAGTTTAAACAGTAACTGTACCTCATTTCCTTCCAGGTCAAAGGTGTTGAATTCAAGTGAGATGCGATGGTTTGCTGGCGCGACTATTTGCCAAACACAATTCTTCTCCCGTGGGTAGTTCTCTGGATACGAAGGTGTTGTGATGTTACCTTCAAGACTGGTTAAGAATCCACCGCAAGCAACTACAAACATAAAGCAAGCTCAGATTTTAGGCAAGCATGAACGACCCTACCCCGGGATGTATAGTTCATTGATTTTCGTTGTGCTTTTAATTTATTAATTTATTTAATTGGCTGGTGGTTTGTACCATGAGCAAAAGCAATTTCTATGTCTCTGACAATGAGAATAAAATATATCTGTACCTGTAAAGAAGAAAATAATCATGTTTTCCAACAATTAGCGGGAAACGTCCATTGAAAAGCGTCTGACTATCAAATGGACAAAAACTTATGTGCCTAAATAGGGTCATGATGACATCCCATCATGACCATATATAGGCACATCATGACTATTTATGGGCATACAACAGTTTTTTGTCGAAGAAAATTTGAGTCTGGACAAAGCTAAATGTATTTGGAGACGAAAGGTTAAGGGCTTAGCCAGCGAGTTGTCCGGCTGTCCTATTTTTAGGACGGCCACTTTTACGGTGACGGCTTGGAAAGCTTGGCCTACTCAGCTTGGCCTATCCTAGTTAGGCCTGCTCTACCTTTAGCAAATTCCTTATATTCCTCGAATCTATCAAATTTTTACATTTAAACTAAAGCATATTTTGGACGGGTATTTCGTTTTTCTGGCTAAACTCCTGCGACTGGTACACTTACCTTCACAGCCTTTGCCGTCACTTTTCAGTTCATATCCTGGCCTGCATTCACATGTATAACTGCCAACAGAATTGATGCACAGTTGTTGACATCCTCCCTTATCAGCCTGTTCACACTCATCTACCTCTGCAATATTAAACAATATGATAAAATAAATATATCTATATACACCATTTTATCAGCCCTATTTTGAAACAGCGCCACCAACAATCCTCAAATGTTCACGGGGGACCTCCAAACCTAGCCTAAGCAAACTCTGTTTTTTAAGACACTGCATGTTTTATGTTCCCCTATTTTCTTCTTTTTTTTTTTTTGACATTTTGATTTCAAAGACTAGCCCAGGCCAACTCACTACAACAAGGAGGCCGTTCACCAGTCACTTCACAGGTAAACATTGGTAAAATACGTAGAGCAAAATGCCTAGGCCTCTGGAAGTCCCTCAGTGGTTGTTGCCAGATTCTAAAAAATTTTCATTTTAAATATATATATATATATATATATATATATATATATATATACATATATATATATATATACACTGTATGTATATTATTATATTTGTATCAAATAACAAATAACTTGATTATAGGAGGAAAGGATTAATTAACAAGTATCTTTATGAGGCTTAGGGAGTGAAGTTGTTTTTAGCCATGAGAAAAAGTCCAACCATCATAGGAATCGAACCCATGACCCTGGGATTAGAAGACAAGCAACCTTACCACTAGTTCAAAAATACATGCATTTTAACTTTGTATGTGGACCCATCTGACTCTTTGTATACAGCCAAAATATATTTTTTCACTTATTTCAGGTTTTATAACAAAAAACACTAAATGGGGTGTTATTTTAATCGCTTGAGAAAAATTATAGAGCGGAAATTTAAATAGAGGTGAGAGAGACACTGGTTTTATTGTGAAGTGTAAAAAGATTAATTCTTTATGGGGCTGATTTCCTCAATCTAAACCGGAGAATGCAAGAAAAAAAAAATGGAAACTGGAAACAAGCAAAAACTAACCAGAAAAGTACATGGCTGAAAAGCCGGCTTTGTTTACAGATCCATCAGACTTAAATATCACCATCAACTTATTGCTGGTGGATTTGATGTCATTCGGTATGCTGTAGCCGCAATATAGACCAATACTTTCTGCTGTCTCGTCATGCCCATCATACACTTCAACGTAGTCATAGATACAGTTGTCATGGCGCTCAACCTGCAATAGACGACAGTTGTACAGGAGAAAAAACAAATTTTGCAAAAAGATTAAGCTTCAATGGTGTTTTTGTATCAGGAGATACTAATAGGTGTTTTTGACGTGTTATCGTACTGCTCACTACATTCACTAATACTTGCGGAAAAAATATCTTGCAATAGATTTAGGTTGAATTTTTTTTTTTTATTCAGGTTTAAAGTAAAATGTACAAAAAGAAGTCTGGAATTATCGCAGTACAAAAATTCAAGAAAACCGTATGTGGCAAAGACAAGTCAAACCAGTCACTCATTTTGGAAATCTAATTTATTGCAGTAAACATATAACCTGATACATCATGCTATGCTGTTATTTTTACCATTTTCAATGTTAAAACAACAATTTTTAACGATATGGTGATGGTCTCTGGCTGAGAAATGCCCGAAATCATAAAAATTGAAGGCTAATTTCTCAAATATTGTTATTTAAACAGCTCTATCGGCAGAGGATTCAGAGATTTTCTGATAGGATGGGGGGGGGGGTCCATGGTTGGTGTAAATAAGTAGTAAACAATCAAACTCTCCTTTCCACTGCTGGGTCGCCACTCAACTCATGGGTGCACTCCTTTTTCCCCGATTTCCTCTATTTAACTCAAATTTTTCACGGCCCCCAGCTGGATTTGCGGCTGCCCATGTTTTAATGCTTGTATTAAACTTCATTGCCACTAAGTAGAAGTGGTTTAGCGCAGAGAGAATGGTTTGGATTCCCAACCTTGAGGTCGTGGTTTCAATCCCCTCGCTGTGCATTTTACTTGTGCCCTTGGGCAAGGCACTTTTATTGGCATTGCTTCCCTCCACCAAGGAATGTGATTGGGTGCATGGTAGGGTTAAAAGCCAAAATGCGCTGACAGACAGTAGCTGCTGCAACTTTATGGAATACTCCCCAAGGGAGCTTGAGTTTGTGTTCCATAGGTGTTTAATCCAATGACTGGGGGTAGTAATGTGAAGTGCTTAGAGGCCTTGTTGGCATTAAGCGCTATAAAAATCGAACATATTTAAATTATTCTTTACAAATACATACATTAAATCCATTCAAACACAAATTTACAATCAGAATTAATAAACATCAAAACTTAGAAAAAAACAATTTATAGCATTGGAATGGCATTGCATTAGCCACCGCTACTTGAAGGTCGGATTCAACACTAGCCATGAAGCACAAACATGGAGGTCTAGTAGTTAAGGCACCAGATTATTTATCTGGAGGTTTTAGGTTTGATTTTCAACAAAATCACTTGCAAGATTTTCTTTTGCAAGTATTTGGGAACGTACTGAGCATTCAGTACGATAACATGTCATGGAGGGTAAAAATAAATTCTTATTTAAAAGATTACACCAATATAACAAGATTTTTTATTCCTGGTTATTAAGTTACAGATTTTCATTGGCCTTATTTGTAATATATAAAATGCTTTGCCTCCCTCCTTTTAGCTCAGAGGATTTTAAAACTTATTTGGTTAGGAATGAGATGCTTTTTAAATTACAGGGTTTCTCAAATTACATGAAGATATAATGTGTATGGAACACGGCTTAACTTAGAAAATGATGCAAATGAATGACTACAAAACAACATAATGGTGGAAATTTTAAATGATGTTATTTTCGTTTTATTTTATGGTTGTACTGAAGTTTCTATTTTTAAATAATGATCATAAAAGAAAAATTAATCATAAAAAGTCAGAAATTGATGATGATGATGATGATGATGATGATGATGATGATGATGATGAAGATGATGATGATAATGATGATGACGAAAATGATGATGTTGAAACTGAAGATAGAATTGCTAAAGCTAAAAATGGAGGTAGTAGTGATGGTGATACATATCCAAAGATGAAATGCTGAATTAAAAATAATTTAAGACAAGAAGCCTACAGTAATTAATACTGTACAGTATAAAATGAAGAATCAATAAACAAAATGCCAAAAAAGTAAAAACATGACATTCTTGGCAATAAACGTGCGAGTTGTGAATCAGTAAGTACCTGCTCATACCTCAAAAGACTGGAAGCGAAGACCAACTTGCTCATCCTCTGGCATCTTGATCTTCCAGATGCATTCCTTGTTTGGTCTGTAATCATCTGGATAGTTAGGACTTTGAAGGTTGCCACTAGCCTTGCCAATGATACTTCCACCACAGATGGCTGCAAGAAGACAAGACATATAACAAAATCCATCATGTGACATCTACTTTGTAGAAATAGACATTTTTGTATTAAAGATACACTGTCTGCCTAAAAAAAAAAAAATCTCAAAAATTATATTAATTTAGAATAGCTAATTTAAAAGAGAAAAATATGTTATTAATTTACAACATAAATTTGTTTTTGCAGATTTCCAGACTTTTTTCTTTAATTATATGCCAGTCAGTTTAAGGGTCTGCAAAGGAAGTCAGCATTGGTATTATTTCACGTCGATTAATTTACAGGGACGATATTGTCACAATTAAATGTTTAATTGTAAATTAATAACCACAATACACAAATTAAGCCATTCAATAACTGAATTTTTCATTTGTTTTTGCAGACAGTGGATTTAAAAAAAAATAAAACTGAAATACAACTGAATAATACCTTCATAGCTGGCAGAGAATCCGCGACTGTAGTAGTGCTCTGTGCGAACTTTTATCCACAGTCGACTGCTGGTTGAAATCAGAGGAGCAGGAAGACGTGAGCCACAAAAACGACCTAAAACATTAAATGAAAACAAACACAATAGTAAGACAAATGATATTACTGTATTATTATTGCTATTATTATTACAGCATTTATATGGCACTGTACAAAGAACGCTGGGCCAACAAATTTAGGTGAGCAATATGGAATTACAGTAATGCAAAAAAGAAGCACAACACAGCATCAACAAAACATTAAAACACCAACTCAAAAACATGCAACAACAAAAGCGGATTTCACATCAGGTATCTCTAGAATATTAAGCCAACGAAGCAAATTCAGAATGCTTGTTTCCTTGTTTTATTAGCTAAACCCCTTTATTGATTATTAACCCCTTCCTGGGGTCCCTTTAGAATGACTTCAAAATATTCTGAGAAATAATATAGACCTAGAAAACAAGGCTCTAAAACAGCAATTGAAACAAGATCTCAAAATTAGTATGTTCTGCACACATTTTGCAGAAATAACCTGTTTTGTCAATTTTAGTTAGTTTTTGACGTATTCCATTAAAAATAAAAATTTTAACGTGTGGGACTCACCAAGCAGATCTGAATAGCGCCAATGACCATCGCGTACTTCGACATAATCATGCCAGCAGTCGTTGGTCTGGATAATATCAAAGCCAGTAAAGGTGAGTCTAATGAGCTCGCCAGGGGTGACGGATATCCGCCATTCACAGTACTCATTGTCGTTTGCCTCTGGCCAGTTGGGAGATGAAAAGTTACCCGACGTCTCCTGTAAGGTTCGGCCACAGTCTGAAATTTAAATGTTTTTTAACATACAGAAGAGTCTTCCTGCATAACTTGCTAATGTTCGCTACAAGAATTAATTACATCAGAGCAATATCCCCTAAAGCACCAGGGGGCGGATTTATCAAACTTGCTAAGCAAGAAAATTTGCTTAAATTCGTCTTAAATCCATTTTTTTGCTCAAGTCAGATTTATCAATATTGCTTAGCTTAGAAATTGCTTAAAATTTGCTTAAAA